CTCCCAAAGAGCCTTATTCTTATCCTAGCTGAAATCCCTTTTCATTCTAGGACCCTTGTAACTTATCCGCTCATTCCGAATTCTGGTATCTCCGCAGATAACCTCGGCCTAGCCGAGATTACCTCCACGTCAAGTCAAGGACACGTGGCACTTCGACCGGCACTTCGATGCCACCTCTGCCGGCACTTCGATACCACCTCGGCCACGTGTTGCTATCAAAAAAATATGTCCCCACACAACTTATTTCCAGATAAAATTTAGGATAAATTTTCATAATTCATAACATTTTTCTTATTCAAATTGCTAACGAATTTAATTTTTTTTGTACATAATTTCCTACTTGCTCTAGAAATTCTACATAATTAGGGCATGGACTTTGTTCAAATACATTTTATTTTAAAAAAATTAAAAAAAAAATCTGAATTTTTATTTTTGTTAATTTAAATTTTCATGTTTTGATTTTTTTTTTCATTGTGTTATTTGCTTATTTCTGTTAAATAAAATTGACAAAAAATTAAGTATTTGCCATTATATTCAATGTAAGTGCATAAAAAATATCTAAAATACATTTTTCTATTGAGTTTAATTATTAAAATATAATTTTTCGTTCAGTTTTATCGAACAAAATTAGACAAATGGTTTAGATTGAAACTAAATAAAAAAAATTATAGTTTAAATTGATAAAATTAAAAATTTAGAATTTATTTTATTATAAGGTTCAACCTTAGATTTTTTTTTTATTTTTTATTTTTGGTAATTTTTTGAATTCTTTTTTAGTGGCCTCTGTGGTATCCCAAAAGACCCCAACAGGCCCAAAGCATCACCAACACTGAAGGATGAGAACAAATTAGAAATTAAGAAATGGGCCCTTCCAAATTTTTGGGCCATGTCATAAAATTAGCTTGAAGCTATTTAATCCAGTTTCATTATAATTTAAAATAAAATAAAAGAAAATAATATACAAGTTTATTTTTAGATCCACTTTCTAAATCTAATAATGTATAAGTGATATTATTGAGAAGATACGAGAGAGTGTTACATTAAATATTTTAATTGATTGCCACATCATTGGACGTAAAAAATAAGTCTAATTTTTGGACTTATATAGCAATGCCCAATTTAAAAAAACAGATGACGTCCACCTAATAATCATATTTTTTTGGAGAAAATTGTTGAAAAATCCAAGTTAAGGAGGGTATAAGATATTAGGTCCAATGAATATTTTTTTGTTAATGATTGGTCCACATTTTGTGAAATAATTCGGTAATAAGTCATTTTGTTTGTTTTGAAAAATATTTTATTTTCAAATTTATACCTTACTTATTTTATTTTATTTTTATTTTTATTTTTTTATATCTATTGACTTTTGTTGATTATTTGTTCAAAATTTTTTTCTATCTGTTTGATTTTTTTCTTATCTGTTCAATTTTTCCTTATCTGTTCAAAAATTTGTCCAAATTTTATTATCTGTCCAAATTTTATTATGTATCAAATTTTCATTTATCTGTTTAAATCTATCTCTCATAATTTTATTATTTGTTCATTTTGTTTGTTCTAAATTATATCTGTCAAAATTCTATCTGTTGAAATTTTATTTATATCTATTCAAAATCTATTTGTATGAATTGTCATCTGTTTGAATTCTTATATGTTGAAATACCAAAGCCAAAGCAAATCCTATCTATTGAAATATAGTCAAACCAATCCTATCTGTTGCAATACCTTATCAAACCAAACCCTAACAACAACAATATACACATAATCAAATAATGTTCTTTTTGTTGATTATCTGTTCAAAATTTTTTTTCTATCTGTTTGATTTTTTTCTTATCTGTTCAATTTTTCCTTATCTGTTCAAAAATTTGTCCAAATTTTATTATCTGTCCAAATTTTATTATGTATCAATTTTTCATTTATCTGTTTAAATCTATCTCTCATAATTTTATTATCTGTTCATTTTGTTTGTTCTAAATTATATCTGTCAAAATTCTATCTGTTGAAATTTTATTTATATCTATTCAAAATCTATTTGTATGAATTGTCATCTGTTTGAATTCTTATATGTTGAAATACCAAAGCCAAAGCAAATCCTATCTATTGAAAAATAGTCAAACCAATCCTATCTGTTGCAATACCTTATCTAACCAAACCCTAACAACAACAATATACACATAATCAAATAATGTTCTTGGTTGTTCTATGTCATTAGTGTTTTCCACTTATATTCCAAAATCAATAAAGAATCCATGCGTGATGTTGGTTTAAAAAAAATGAGAGTGTGTGTGTGAGAGAGAGAGAGAGAGAGAGAGAGAGAGAGAGAGAGATGGATGGTTGATTGGTCTTTCATCATTGTCGGTGTCTGCTCTATGGTAGGTCGCGGCGGTGACAACGGTTGTAGCGGTGGAATCCTTTATTTTTCTTCATTGTCATATCGAATGAATCTTTCTCTCTGCCATGCTGGAGTGCCAAGTGAGATCTCGACCACCGCGATGTCAGATTCTGGCGAAACTTCCTTAGATCTGGATTTGGATCAGAAGTTCTTCGCTCAGAAAAAATTTGGAGCGACAGATCTCTGCTACAATTACGATGTCAAATTTTACCGTCTTTACTTCCGACAACTGCGTCTCCGTCTTTGCTCACTATCGACGATGGCAGATATGTTGAATAGTGGTAATGGTGTCAAAATGAAGAGAGAGAGAGAGAGAGAGAGAGAGAGGACGATGTGGGTGGTTCATGTTAACGGCAACGGTAGAAATTTGTGAAGAATTAGTAAGCCAGAGAGATCAGAGAAACCCTAGAGAGAGAAACAAGAGAGAGAGGAGAAGGAATTCGAAATGAACTTTGAGCATAGAGACGAGTAAATTTTGGTGTGGAAGTTTTGTATATAGGATGGGTATTTTGGTCATTTTGGCAGAGCTTGTCCTTATGGACATAATATCTGAGCGCTTGGATCTTTGAGCAAAGTAAAGTCAAATTGGAATTTATGAACCGAGTGTCCTATTTTTTGTTATTCACTAAGCTTCTGTTTGCTTTGGAAAAAGCTTGAGATTACAAGTTCAATGCTATTGCTAATCCCAAAAATAGTGTGATTAACAATATTATCTATTGGTTTCATTAATCTTGTTAGGAGACTTGAGGAGTTTGTGATCAGACCTGTAAGTGGTAAGTCCATGTAATGTATATTAAGAGTTACTCCTTTTAATTTGAAAAATATTTTACATACTAATAAATCTAACAAAATTTTCATGCAATAATTGAATACACTTTGATGATGCTAAGTAAGAAAATGTGCAAGATTCGTTAATTTTTTTTTGTATAGTAATATGATATGGACTCTCCCATTATGCACCCTCAAACAAATCCCATTCCATGGATTACCACATCATCGCATCCCCTAATTAAAAATAATGGCATCCAGTACTTTACATATTACTCTTCCTATCTATAATTGCATGATATTATGAATTCGATTAAACAAATATATATATATATATATTATATAGCCATGGAGGAAAATAAAGAGAAGGGCATGGGATATAGTGCACCAAAATGAGGAGTCTTATTAGCCACTATATTTTCATGTGGTCATGTACAATACCTTAGCTTTTTCACGAGCCAATACCAACCTCCAATTCATAATATCCAACCCAAAACACCATCAAATTATCAATGTCCACTACACCAACATTGCCCTTACCTCCTATTGCATGAAGAAAAATGGTAGGTTCAAAGACATCTTCTCTTCTACTTTTACTTATCATCATCATCCTTTTCTTCTTCAATATTGTCTCATCTCATAGGGTCCCATGCCTTCCAGCGAAGCCGCCGGCCAAGTGTACAAAAGACACTCTCAAGTTTGGTGTTTGTGGTGAATGGTTGGGATTGGTGACTGAAGTCATTGGGACTAAACCTAATCCCCAATGTTGTACAGTGGTGAAAGGTTTGGCTGACCTCGAAGCTGCATTGTGTTTATGTACTGCAATTAAGGCCAATGTGTTGGGTGTTGTCAAGCTTGAAGTCCCCATTGCTCTTAGTTTGGTCATTAATGGGTGTGGAAAGAAGGTTCCAGAAGGATTTGTATGTGCATAGATGATGTGCATGTGTATGTGTGTGTGTGTGTGTGTGTGTGTGTGTGAGAGAGAGAGAGAGAGAGAGAGAGAGGACGATGTGGGTGGTTCATGTTAACGGCAACGGTAGAAATTTGTGAAGAATTAGTAAGCCAGAGAGATCAGAGAAACCCTAGAGAGAGAAACAAGAGAGAGAGGAGAAGGAATTCGAAATGAACTTTGAGCATAGAGACGAGTAAATTTTGGTGTGGAAGTTTTGTATATAGGATGGGTATTTTGGTCATTTTGGCAGAGCTTGTCCTTATGGACATAATATCTGAGCGCTTGGATCTTTGAGCAAAGTAAAGTCAAATTGGAATTTATGAACCGAGTGTCCTATTTTTTGTTATTCACTAAGCTTCTGTTTGCTTTGGAAAAAGCTTGAGATTACAAGTTCAATGCTATTGCTAATCCCAAAAATAGTGTGATTAACAATATTATCTATTGGTTTCATTAATCTTGTTAGGAGACTTGAGGAGTTTGTGATCAGACCTGTAAGTGGTGAGTCCATGTAATGTATATTAAGAGTTACTCCTTTTAATTTGAAAAATATTTTACATACTAATAAATCTAACAAAATTTTCATGCAATAATTGAATACATTTTGATGATGCTAAGTAAGAAAATGTGCAAGATTCGTTAATTTTTTTTGTATAGTAATATGATATGGACTCTCCCATTATGCACCCTCAAACAAATCCCATTCCATGGATTACCACATCATCGCATCCCCTAATTAAAAATAATGGCATCCAGTACTTTACATATTACTCTTCCTATCTATAATTGCATGATATTATGAATTCGATTAAACAAATATATATATATATATATTATATAGCCATGGAGGAAAATAAAGAGAAGGGCATGGGATATAGTGCACCAAAATGAGGAGTCTTATTAGCCACTATATTTTCATGTGGTCATGTACAATACCTTAGCTTTTTCACGAGCCAATACCAACCTCCAATTCATAATATCCAACCCAAAACACCATCAAATTATCAATGTCCACTACACCAACATTGCCCTTACCTCCTATTGCATGAAGAAAAATGGTAGGTTCAAAGACATCTTCTCTTCTACTTTTACTTATCATCATCATCCTTTTCTTCTTCAATATTGTCTCATCTCATAGGGTCCCATGCCTTCCAGCGAAGCCGCCGGCCAAGTGTACAAAAGACACTCTCAAGTTTGGTGTTTGTGGTGAATGGTTGGGATTGGTGACTGAAGTCATTGGGACTAAACCTAATCCCCAATGTTGTACAGTGGTGAAAGGTTTGGCTGACCTCGAAGCTGCATTGTGTTTATGTACTGCAATTAAGGCCAATGTGTTGGGTGTTGTCAAGCTTGAAGTCCCCATTGCTCTTAGTTTGGTCATTAATGGGTGTGGAAAGAAGGTTCCAGAAGGATTTGTATGTGCATAGATGATGTGCATGTGTATGTGTGTGTGTGTGTGTGTGTGTGAGAGAGAGAGAGAGAGAGAGAGAGAGAGAGAGAGAGTATGATTGTGTGTTGGTGAGTGATATGAATGTATTTATAATGTGGTGGTTAATGATTGTTCATCAATGGAAAACAAGATTGAGTCTGGCTCTCATTGTTTATGCTTTTGGTTGTGAACATGTGCACTTTGTTTAATTTTGATTCTCAATATTTTAATTGTGTCAATTTTATCCTCAAAATATATTAAATGTGTATTAAAGAGATTCTCATAACCGATATTGTCAATGTTTATCACTAAAATTAGACCCTTTTTTTGGAACAAAATACTCTTTTGCCAAAAAATAAAAATAAAAATTCCTATACAAATTGACAAAATGATCAAAATGGTATAAAGCAAATACTTTAGCAATCGAAAGTGTACTTAAACCCCTTTTTATTTTTAATTTTTTGGCTGAGGTGTAAGTTTTTGTTTAAAGCACAGTCCATTTTTAAAAAAGGGAAAATTACATACACACACCTGGAGGTTTACTTAAATTATGAATTACCTTTGTGGTTCTAGAAATTATATTATGTCGATAGGTTTTTAATTTTATAACAAATAGGCTCTTGTATTAATAAATTATCAAGTTAATTAACAGTTTTTAATAATGTTAAAATTTTATTTCAATTAATAATTCAGATAATTTTATTACTATATAGAAGAATAGTTAAAAATTCCAATTTTTTAGTTAATTCTATTAAATAAAAAATTCTGACAAAGTGATATTTGCAATTTTCCAAACTACAGGGGTAATTCATATTTTAATCATTCCTCAAAGAGTGTATGTGTAATTCACCCTTTAAAAAAAACTATTCTACTGTAAACAACTCACATTTTTTTAGTTTTCAGATAAATTATTTAGGGAAACTTACCGGTAGGTCCATACACAAAATTCAAAACTTATCTATTCCCAAAAAAATAAAATAAAAAATATCCGTACAAATTAGTTCTACATATTTTTAATCACTACAACAAATTAATCACTACAAGAAAATGCACCTTTGACCACCAAAATTAGCGACTAAAAAAAATTTAATCGCCAAAAGTTGCGGAATTGGTGACGAAAAATTTTTTTAGTCGGTAAAAGTACAATATTTAGCTACTAATTTTTTTTAGTCAGGGTATATCGATTATTGGCGACTAAAAAAAAAATAAGTCGCTAAAAATACCAAAGTTGGCCACAAAAAAAATATTTTAGTTGCCGTAAATTGAGTTTTGGCTACTAAAACTATTTAGCCGCCAAATGTAAAATAAAAAATTATTTTTTTATCTTTGGTGACCAAAAGTTTGGTCTCCAAAAACATATTTTCAGTGACAAAAAAAATATTTTAGTCGCTGTATATTGAGTTTTGGCTACTAAAACCATTTAGTAGCCAAATGGAAAATAAAAAATTATTTTTTATCTTTGGTGACCAAAAGTTTGGTCGAACAAAACATATTTTCAGTGTCAAAAAATATTTTAGTCATCGTATATTAAGTTTTGGCTACTAAAACCATTTAATTAACGAATGGAAAATAAAAAATTATTTTTTACCTTTGGCGACCAAAAGATTGGTTGCCGAAAACTTATTTTCAGCGATAAAAAAAAATTTAGTCGCCAAAAACAAAAATATTTGGAGGGAGACATTTCAAATTTTGGAGGGATTTATAGAATTAATTGGCGACTAAAAATATTTAGTCGCTAATGGTGTAATATATATATATATATATTTGGTTTCCAAACCACAAACTAGCACCTCTGTTTCTCTCTCTTCCGCGTTTCTCTCTCTCTCCATATGCCTCTTCCTCTTCACTGCTCATCTCTCCTCCCTCTCTCACTGCCGCGCCTTCGCCGCTCCTCCTCAAGGTCGCGGGCAACCGGAGCACCAATTCACCTAGATTTGCTCTATTTTCACCTAGATTTGCTCTATTTTCTCTCTCTAAAATCTCTCTATATTCGTATATTTGTTTATCTATCAATGGCGAGACCGACGACATGCCAGAGATTGCGGCGATGACGATGAATCAAGAGAAGGCGAGGAAACTAAATGGAACGTTTCTCAGTATGAAGCTATACTCAAAGAAGGTGAACAGGTCACCTCTGTTCTTAAAGAGATTGCCAAGCTTGTAACTACTTCTCTCCTCAATTCTCTTGATATTCTTTGTTAATTTTTTGCCCTTAAAATCCTAAACCCTTTATTGTTTGCTAGAACCTGAGTCTGTTTACCTTCAAGTGTTTCTTGGTTGAATGATTTTTATATTTTCTTTTATTCATATTCAATTAATTTTCAAGTTCCATGGATGCCTATTTCAGAATTTCTAGATTGTTGATTGGACAACTTGGTTTACTTGCAAACTGTAGCATGGATAAACCCTAAACCCTTTTCTTTAATTGGGTGTTCCTTACACCTAATTTGCTTGTTTTAAAATGTTGGAGGTTTTTCTTGAATAATCTGAAGTTTCTCCATGATAAGATGCATATTAATTTAAAATTGATTATTTGGAGTGAGGTGGGTCACAGTTGGTAGTTGCTCGTTATCATCTGCAAACACATTTCAAGTTGTACCTGGATAACTAGAGGGCCAACAAACATGTAAGGAAATATAGGGTATAGTTTCCAAACAAAAATATGAATGCCTGCTTAAAGTTGTGCTCTTACATGCCCGTGGCTCAGTTGCCGAGGATCGATGTGCAGCTCGCACAATTACAGCATGTGGTGGCCAAGTATTCGATTCTTGGAAATGGTAATCAACCTCTGGATGATAAGGACCTTGATCAATTCATGGTGAGGCTCTTCACTTGGTTCATACTTGTATGTGCGTCTATATAATTTCTCTTTATGTATATGATTATATGTAGGTTTTGTTCAAATTTAATTGTTTAGTTATTGCAATATGACGTGATTTGTCAAATTAGAACAATAGTTTGATGTTTGGTTTATCATTCTCTATCTAATTTTAGACATAAGTTAATTAATTTGGAAAAAACTTGAAACATGAATAATCAAAGTAAAAAAAAAAAAAAGGGGAAAAAAAAAGACTTTAAGGACTAAAATGAGAACAGGGCCAAACATATAAAAATCCTCCATTAGATTTGGGTTAGTGGGTGATTTAGTTTTTATCACAGAGATAAAGAAATTTTATGTGAACTTGTTTAGTTAATTACTAAATAACATGTTTGTTTATTTACATATCTAAATTATGCAGTAAACCTTGAAAATGGAGGGGAGTGTGTTTAGCCCTACTTTGGAGGGAATGAAGAATGTCAAGTCTGACAGAGGAGAACTGTTGACAAAGCCTTTATTGGATGTCTGCAAACACATATTGCCTATTCTAGGTGTGCTTTTCTTTCCCATTTGGTAATTTTAACTAGAGAATAGCTTCAATCAAGAAGAGTTTTCATAGTTTGTTTTATTGTTGCTCAAACCATATAGTTTTTAATTAGAATTTTCTAGATTTTGTGTGCACTTGGAAGTTATTTTCATAGTTTTATGGGTGTTTGGCGGAAATGCAAAACGAACTTCCGGGCATTAAAAGTCCTTCCAAAGATTTAATGGTTGCTTGGTGAGTTTATGTACACGAGCTTTTCTAAAACGTGCATGCTTCTAAAAGTCTGTTTAGTGGAAGTTCCATTAGGTGGCTTTTACAGTGACTTCTCATGAAGTCTAATACTCATTTAAATAAAAATTTTAAATGGTGGTGTTGTCTCTATAATAATATTGACCTACATCACCTTCATTGTCATGAATTTACATTTCTTTGGACTTTTTGGAAAAATTACTAAAATATTCAAAAATGAAATTTTCATATAGCACTTTTAAAAAGTGCACTTACCTAACATAATTGTATATCAAGAGGACTTTTCTTGAATGATTTCCTTTAAAGTCCATTGTACAAAAGCCCTTGCTTTATGGAGAAGTTGTCCCAAACAGCATAACTATTCTTTTTCTATGGTTCAAACGGATTTTTTATTGGATAAGAAAAAGGAAAATCTAAAACCAAAAAACAAAGAAACAAAAACCAAAAGGAAGTTTTGAATAAAGCATGATCTTGCATTTCCAAATGCAAACATCTGTCAATGCCAAAACATTGTTCTCTTTTGTAATTTCCTATGTTGATATGCTTTGCCTTCGGAGTTATATTTGTCTATTAACTTGCTCTTAAGTCCTTTTTTGGGCCTTTGGCTTGGCAATCCACTGAACTTTTTTTTAATTTCTGATGTCAGACAAATTTGGAGCTGCAATGACGGTTGTGAAATCTGATATTGGTGGTAAAACATTGGTAAGATACTTTTCTTCTTAATTTTTACTTATATGCTCATTTACATTCAATTAATTATATTCCTCTTCAATAAAATAAATAAATAAAAGTTAACATGTCACACTATGCCAATTTATGATCGGCAAAAGATGGTAAACGCACTACTGGGTTGATATTGAATTTGTCTTTTGTTGTCCTAATAATGTTAGTTTAAAACATGGTCTTCAAGTCTTGTACTGGCTAGAAATTTGTCGAGCTCAATTTCGAAGATTTTGGATTTGGGTTTCTATATATTTTGTTCGATGAAGTCTAACTGGGAAACATAAATGCTGACCTACATTATATACATCTCTCCAGTCAAATAAAGTAAAATGAAATTTATGCATCCTCATATTATGTTTTCAATACTGAAAGTTGTGGAACTGTAGTGCCTTCAATGTTCAAGATTTGTGAAAATGCAGATTGCCAAAAGTAACAAAATTTGATGAAAACTATCGAAGGATTTTGATTTTGAAACAATTACGATCATGGTGTATACTGGTGAGAAAAGAAAATTTTGGAAATATTGCATGTAATTGTCAAACTAGAGTTTACTAGGCAAGCATGAGGTTCAATTCGGAGGTTGTATAAATTTTCATCAAAACAGAAACATTAAAATGATCTTGATGGGATTATATGCAGAGTATAATATATCTAAATTATTAATTTTAATTGTAGAACTGTTATAATTTGCAGAGTATAATATATCTAAATTATTAATTTTATAATTGTTATAACTTGAAATGTCAATATTATTGAATAAGTGCTAATGGTTAATTTTTTTTTCTTTTTTTACAGATTGCTTTTGCGTCGGCTATTGTGGATGTGTATGAAGAGCATTTGTTCTCTATATGGAAGACATTTATTTTGGAACAATCCTCTATTTTGGAAATCCAATGTTTTTGTATGTAATATTTAATTTAGATGGATTATACTTGGTTTGTATGGATTTATAATGAAATGTGTATTATTCATAATGGATTTAGATTATAATTGATAAATGCATTATTTTGTATATGTAGAGGTTACAGATTACTGGTTACAGGTTGCATTGATAATGAAATGCATATAATTTAGAAATTAATGAAAAATATTCAATTTGTGAATTTAAAAAAAAATTAATAAATAGAGTTTGAGCTTTTGGCGACTAAACATTTAGTAGCCAAAAAATAAAAAGGAACTTATTAGCGACTAAATAGTTAGAAGCCAAAAAAAAAATGAAAGTTTTTTGCGACTAAAAAATTGGTAGCCAAAAAGGAGTGTCACGTTTTTAGCGACTAAAAAATTAGTAGCTAAAAAACTAAAGATGGAAAATATTTTCTTTTTGGTAACTAAATTTTTAGTTGCCAATTGGTGACTTTCGGCAACTAAAAAAAAAAAAAGTCGCCAATACCTTTCCCAACGATCATCTAGTGACAAAGCTGACGACAAAAAAATTTAGTCAGCAAAAATCTTCGGCAACTAAAAAATGAAAGTGTAATTTGTTGTAGTGAATTGTTACAAAAAAATTCTAATTTTTTTTTTAAATTTAAAGACGCTGTTAAATCCCACCACCATCGAACTTCGGTCAAACGATTATTGGAGACTCGCTGAAATGTTCAACATCACTGGGAAGTTACTAGAGTATCGCCAAAGTATTTTAAATATCACTAGAAGTCGTCGGAATGTTGAAAACATTTGTTGGACGTCAAAAATATCGTCAGAAACTCATCGGAATGTCTAGAATATTACCCGAAAAATAAATAAATAGAGAAATTATAGTAAAAATATAACAAAATGTGTTAAATATTGACAAACTGAAAGAAAAAAACAAAATATGACAACAACAAAGCAGCAATGGAAATATATATATATATATATATATTATTTTTCAATTTTTGTATTAAGCAAATGGCCTCCAATATTGATCAAACTGAAAATCAAGTTTTGAAATTGTAAAATATTACAGTTTTAAAATATGATTCTATTAAGCATTTATCTTTGTTGATCAAACTAAAAAATATGTTATGAAACTGTAAAATTTTATAATTTTAAAGAATATTATGAAATTGCAAGATTTTATAGTTTTAAACCATGATTCATTTCAGCATCAAAAAAATTGAAATTGAAAAATATTACAATTTTTATGGCTTGTAACTAAAACTCGAAACCAATTTATTCAGAATTTGAAAATTATCTCCATTAAAATAGAAAAAAAGAAGTGTGTAGTAGAGAAAATATAGAAAAACTGAGAGATCGAAGGTGAGAGATAGATATAAAGAGAGAATTGTACTCCGACAATTATTTTTTATTTAGATTTAGTCGAATTTGATGTAGATCTGAATAGATTTACTTATCTTCTTCCCTGTAAACTTATCTCATTTACCGTCAGTGAGGGTAAAGCATGGAGTTAGCAGTCGGTGATTGTTGATGAACCCTAATTGATGGTGGTCGTCGATTATTGGTGATTATATATCAAAAAGAGAAAGAGAAAAAGGTAGGTGTAATCGTCTGTCGTCGAAAATCAGAAAGAGAAAGAAACAGGAGAATGAACGCATAGAGAAAGAGAAAAAGAAAAATGCACACAAGACTTCTGGGTATAAACAAAAAGTTGTGGGATTAAATGGAGCACATCTCTTTTAAAGAGGACTTGTCAATTGTTACAACCCAAAACCGTCCCTGTAAGTTTAGCGTCATAACCGGCCAGTAATCCTTGTATTACCAAAGGCCTTTGTACAGAGTAACATAGAATTAAGGGGCTAGCAAAAGCAGATAGATAAAATATATTATGTAGTCCAATAAGTTGTGCAGACATACATGGGACAGATAATTTAAAACTTTATAAACGCACACACATGTGACGTCATACATACATTAGTCGTACATCACTCTTATACACAGATAAACCAAAAGTAGGACTTAGCCTAGTGTATAGATAAACAAAAACAAAGTCTTAAAACTTAGTTCATAAAACTCGACCATTTGACTCATTCTGGAACCTCCTCGGGAGATTAAAAAGTTGGCTAACAAAACGGAATTCCAGGTGATCATCACTAAGCCTGGCCACGCGTTTGATCACCTACATACATAAATAATATAGTGAGCGGAAGCCCAATGAATAATAACAAGGTAAAGGGTTTAATGAATGTTGTCCATACAATTACAGAAATTAGAATTCAGTAGTTAATAGTAACGGATTTTATATTCATGTTCAGAAATCAAAGTTCATAACAGAAACAAATTTAGAATCATATTCACAATCAGAATTTGCAATTAATCATGCTGTAGACACCCCATTTTTGACCGACCTTAAGACTCAGACGTCACCAACTGAGGGCTCGGTGATGTTGCATATTGTGCTCGTTCTGAGGTTGCGGAGTCTCGGCTGCGAGCCTTGCTTCCAGACTTCGGGGCTCTTTTGTGTTTTGCCTTGGTTTGCGAACCAGGTCCTGTTTTCTCTGTTTTCACTTCCCGAATGGAGGGAGAGGTCTCGTAGACCATCTCTTAGTGGCCGTAGGCTACGTTTCGTGGTCGTAGGCCATTTTTCCTGTTTGGAGCCCAGTTTTCAATTTTCGGAGCCGTCAGCCATGTGCCTCGGTTCGGGACTGCTTAATTACCTCCGTTTGCTCCGGTTTTTGGCACACACCTTGTTTCCTCCCTTTAGAGGGACATTGTAGCCCGAGAGACCACCTTCGTGGTCATACGCCACTTCCAGTGCCTAACAGCCTGTTTTGAGGGCCCCAGACTGCGCGTTTTGGTCCCCGAACCTTCGTTTTGCATCCGTCTTGGTCCATTTTTGGTAAGGACCCTATTTTGATTGCTAGGGAGGTGGTAGTATGGTGGGAGGTCACCTTTTCCCCTTGGAAACCAGCTTTCTCTTTTTCTCTCTCCTCCAGCCGATTTTTTTGACAGAAAGTTGGTTTTTCTCACTTTTGAGCCATAATTTTTGGTTTTTCATACCACCATCGTGTTGTGCTCTTCTGGGAGGCCACCTTTCTGGGGTGGCCGGCCAGCATTTCTCCTTGAACCTTTTGACCCCTGGTCGACCGACTAGGGAGAGTGGCCGACCGACCACTTAAACTGGTCGGCCTGTTTATTGCTTTTTGCTCTTTCTGAATGCATCACAGCTGTGCCAATTGAGGGGCATTTGGACCATCCTCCATACACGTGTATGAAGGATATTTGAAGCTTCCAAGAGAAGCTTTAGAGCCTCTCCTCTATAAAGGAGAGGCTTGTCTTCATTTGAAAGGGATCAACAATTTTGTTTAAGGCTTATGCACCTTTCCCTCCATAGCTTATTATTCCAAGCTCCAAACCCTAATATTCTTGCACCATTTGCACTGCACCTCATAGCCTACCACCTCCACCATCCATCCAAGCATCTTGGAGCTGATTTTCAGAGGTTAAAGAACTCCCATCTTGGTCCATAAGTTGCTGGAAATCTGTTCTTCAAGGGTGAGTCCCTATTTTCCCTTTTCTTGCATTATTTTGCTCCATTGATTAGCCTTATTTGCAAGATTTTTTGGACTTTGTCATAAACTGAAAAGTGTCTTCTATTGAGCTCCTCTTGAATTTTTATTGAGGACACTTTTCTGTTTGAGGCCATCTATCTCCTTGTATGCTCTATCCCTCTCGGTAGGCTTCTTTTGCATCATATCTTAGCCCTACTTACAAGAATTTTTGAGATTTTCCATGAACTAAAAAAAGTCTTATTTTGAGCCCCTCTTGAAGTTTGATTAAGGGCATTTTTCTGTTTGGGGTCATCTTCCCCCGTTCATGCTTCATTTCCTCATGTTTTGAGCTATGCATGTGAGCATTTTCATTGGCCTTGGTTTGGTCTTTTAGCCACTGAAATCCAGTGGATTTTCAGTGGCTTAGATGTGTCTTTGAGCTTCAAAATCAGAAAGGGGTGATCCTCTCACCCCTTGTCCTCTTTACTAGCATTGTTGGCCTTTCAAAGGGGCTCCATCTTGTATGTTGTGAAGTCACATTTCAGGCCCTATTTTGTGAGTTTTAAGGCCTACCTTGACTCTATTCGGAGCCCCTTTGGCCATATTTTATGTCTATGATGCATGTGTAGAACAATCCCATTCAAGGCCTTTCAAAGGGGCCTTTCATTGCATGATTCCTAAACCAATTTCAGGGCCTTTTTGGTGAGTTTTAGGGCTGTCATAACCTATTTCCAGAGGTAATTTTTCCATCATTGATGTGCATCATGTATGTGTAGAGTAACCCTCTTATTGGCCTTCCAAAGGAACACTTCATTCTTGCATGCATTGACTGAGTTTCAGTGGTTATTTGGGCATATTTTGACATGGCATACTTCTATTTTTAGCTGGTTGGGTGAGCCCTCGTATTCTTCATATAGTTGTAGAACAACTCATGGTTCATTAGCTTTCTTTGCATGCTTTATAGGCCATTGATTCTAGCATATTTTGGCTATGCCTTAAACTGATAATGTGCTTATTTTGGGCTGCCCTAGCTCTATTTTTGGGTCTTGTGGTCGAATGATGTTAGTTTTGCATGCTTGTAGTTCAAGGCCCATGCTTAGCTTTAAGTTTTGAGGTCCATTCCATGCATATACTGAGGTGTGTTCATGTTTTGAGCCTATTATTCATCACATTTCAGAGCTTGTTTGAATGCCATGTTGCCATGTTTTCATCTCTTTAAATACGTTTGAGAGTTGGGCTTGTATACCCCATTTACCGACTATTGAATGAGCTCCATTCCGTTGCATTCCGAATCATCATTTTAGGTCAATTCCCCACTGTTTCAGACCTGCCTAGGGTCTTTTTGGGGTTGGTTTTGCCTTTGGTGCATTGCTTTGGGTACCTCTAGTGTAACGCACTTCACCAGTTTCGGTACCCGGGCCCCCTAGCTTGCATTGTGTGCCATATTTGCATGTTTCGGGACCATATTTCATGCTGTAATTTATGCTATTCCATGCCATCTTTCATCCCTTGCCATGCTTTGGTAGAGT